ATCATGTTTGCTCCACACATTGAAGGATCTCAGCTTCCTTATGAAACTGAGCTTTTTGTATCCAGCATCTGTGTTGAGTTTCCAGTTCAGCCTGTTGTTTATGTGAATGTCCAGGTACTCCTCCAACACATCAACATCCCAGGATAGACACGGGTGTTGTAGCCATTCTCGCTCTTATGACATCTCTCTGGTCTTTTTCACATTAAGAAGCAGATCATTTCTCCAAGACTACTCAAATAAAACCATCCACTCGTGCTCACCTACCCGTCACTAATGCATCCAAACTTTCTGAGTATTTCTGCAGGTGGCATGACTCAGAGTTGGACTGAAAGTCTCAGGTGTTCATGGTAAGTGGGGTGGAGACAGCACGGTCTTTTGTGGAGCTCCTCTAATGTACATGAGCAAATCAGACAGAGCTCAGTGTCATGTCCTGCGGCCTGTCTGTCAGGCAGTCGCTGATCCCTGAGATGGTGGAAATGTTTGCTGACATCTCCTGCAGCTTCTCTCTCAGTGCTATTGGCTATCAAAAAACCCCAAACTGCATCAACACCACATTTCACACCAAACATAGGCCACCATATAATAACAACATCTGTTAGAGAGCTATCATCTGCTGAGAGCAGATTAAGCGCATTAAGAGCTCCCATTAACAGAAACAGACGAATGAGTCTCTTCGCCTCGACACCTTAAACATCCCTTTAACCGGCATCACACTGACGATGAATGTTGAGTCATTTTGTAATTGGGGGAAGTTTTAGATGAGAATCTAGAATAGCTTTTTAAAACGTCCATAAGTGAGATTTGTCCTCCCTAATGTGCTGCCTCATTTCATGATTAAAGTCATCATTGCACAACAGACTGTGTGACTTACAGGCCTATAATCATGTTATTGCCATTGTTTGTTTTTATACAGTGGTTGAGGTTCGATCTAAAGTCATTTTAATTCCTATTTTTCACCCATTATCTATGATTGTATATTTATTTTACTATCATGTCTCCTCTTGGTTGTCTGCGCTTTTATTCTAAGGTGCCTCTGAAGTGGATAAATCGGATCAATGCAGAATATTTGTCAAGTGCAGTCGAGTTCTGTTTAGAAAGGTCACGTTGTTGCTTCAGCGTATTGGAAGTCACGGAGTCACAAAACTATTGAATGGTCAAGCAAACAAGTACATTAGGAAAGTATTAAGTACCAACACTGAAAAACACTTGAAAGTTATTACATGCATGTATCAGAACGTGTTGCGAGTGCATACGTTTGTCTCCAGTTTCTTTATTCAGAGTTTGTTCTTTACGGACAATCAGTAGATTCATTCTGTGATCGCTATTAGATTTTTAATAATGTCAGTTATCAGTGGCTGTAGGGGGCACCAGTAAACTAAGGTGAAGTCATTGTGGAGAGCAAAGCTCATGTTACCTCACAGGTATCATTTTACCATTGATTTGGAGATCACCTTGTCAGACAGTCCACTCATCTCAGCAGCACTTTTCAGTTCAGTTGAGATTGATGCTGAAATAACCACGCAGACACAGTAAGCAACAGCTCGTGAATGTTCTAAATGTATGTCATAATGCAGATTGCTGCTTGCACTTACAAGGCAGATGATTTCTCAAATATCATGGAAACACTGGCTAACTTTTACTTGATGCTTCAGTCTTTGTTCTGGCTCAGTACCCTGAGGAGGAAAATGGTAGCCAGGCCTAAAATCTATAACTTCTTTATGTAATTAGATATAAACTAATGTCCAGCATGCTGAAGAGGAATTTTATTGGATGCTAGCTTGCTAAATATGCAGTAGTGGTTCTGCCAGTTTTCTTTGAGTGATATAAAACTGAAAGAAAGTAGATTTGATTAATGATTGATTAATGATTTTAAACCTGCAGTTGTTATGTCTCAGTGACCATTGTTATGTTATTAATATAGAATAATGATAATGAGTCCAGCTGGGTTTCCACGATGGCTGCAGACTGGCAAGACATGCTTCTAAAAGGGCTTTGGCCTTAAGCACAGACTGTATATAAAAGATGAGTGTAGTCACAGTGAAATCAACTAGTCCTGGATGCCTCATTTTTTCTGATATTTCATTGGTCCTTTATTATTATTATTATTAGCAGTAATGTGTCTGTGTGTTGTGCTCTTACAATTTGTCGCTGTAGCTTGCTAATCAAGCTAGCTAGCATTAGCTTATAACTTCATGTTCAAGCCTCTCGTTAAAAATATGAAAACTTCTTTGGTGTCCAAACACAAACACCAAAGCTTCAAAATGCAGGATTGGAAACTAGTGGGTGATGAAGTCACTGTTACTTCATCCATCTTTTATAGTCTCTATGCTGTCTCTGCTTTGAAGTTTGGTATTTTAATATGGAAAGCTGTGGGGCAACACCCAATCACAGCAATAGTTGCCTCAGGGAGGGATAGTCAACGCGTTAGCCAGTGAGCATATCCAGAATAATCCTCCTTCTGGCACTTATGGATTAAATGATCTTCATATTTTATACAGAATGACTAGAAAATGAGGATAAATTCACTGGGTGCCATCAGAGGGATGTCATCCTATACCTTCAACAGGAACTGAAATGCTTTTGCACCCACAGCTCTCACTGCTCAGTGGCCTTTCAGAAACAATTTCTCTTTAAAGCAGAGCTTCCCAAAGTGTGGGGCCCGCCCCCTATGGGGGGTGCAGAGCCATTGGAGGGGGGGGGGGGGTATGGAAAAAAAAGAAGAGCGCTTGGACACTGCTAGCATAATTGACAGGTTTTTGACGGGGCTCCCACACAAACACAAAGCAGGAGATGAAGCATCGCCAAATATGTTTCCAAACCAACTTCCTTCAAGCCAAAGACTAGAAAATATGGTGAAGCAAATCTTCCCTTTGGCTTCACCTGCACAAGTGCCGAGGTAGGTCTCTGTGACAGAATTATTTTTCCCTGCGGGGAGCACGCTGGGCTCTCCAAATCACGGACAAACAGTATCCCACATTCTTGATTTTTAGTTCACAAACACTTGTTGTAATGACTAACTACTCCTGAACTTTTGGAGATGTTAGCTCTTTATACAGTAAAGTTTCAGCAGGATACAAATAACATCAGGCTGATCCTGCCACGATTTGTCCCTTGGTTCAAATCACAGACAAACAGGATCCCACAGCTGTTTATGTTTTTGAACTTATTTTGCACAGAGAGATTTTTTTGAAAAATGTATTGACAGCAATGTTGAATATTATTACACAGGAAAAAAACAACTACACGTAAAATAAACTGCGGTAAAGTGAGCCGTCATTTGTGAGCCGCGGTCAAGCCAGCAGCCTCCTATCCGCCGCATAAATTTCCTTGCGCTTTTACACCAGTCTTTACGGTAGCGCCTTTTCGCTTTATATCCTGATTGAAAGCCTAGACTCGCGCACACGTGCACGCGCGTGAACAGTCACACGCACGCGCGCACACAAATTACAATGGAACAGCCCAATACAGCCATCGTGACAGTCTGGTTGCATATTCAAAAATTCATTAAAAATCAATCTTAAAAGTTGATGCCAAGCTTTCAACACAATCCTCTTCTCGGACATCTACTTTACCTCTGGGCCATTTTTTACCCAGATTTACTGTAATATTACCCAGAAATCACAGTAAACTCATATTCAGTGCAATACAGTCAATGCACTACAATTATGTTTATTTCAAAAATTCATTAAAGGTCATCCTGAATAGTTGAGGTCCAACTTTCAACACATCCCTCCTCTGGGACACCTACTGTACCTGTGTGCCAAGTTTCATCCAGATTTACTGTAGAATTCCTCAGAAATTAAAGGGTACTTGTTTCCAATGCAGTCGGCCAATACACTATAATTATGTCAATTCTCAAAAATTCATGAAAAATCATCCTGAGTAGTTGATGTCCAACTTTCAACACATCCCTCCTCTAGGACACCTACTGTACCTGTGTGCCAGGTTTCAGCCAGATTTACTGTAGAATTCCTCAGAAATTAAAGGACATTTATATGCAATTCAATACAGCCAATACACTACAATTATGGAAATTTCAAAAATTCATTAAAAATCATCCATAATAGTTGAGGTCCAGAAGTTGGACCTCAACTATTCAGGATGACCTTTAATGAATTTTTGAAATTTGACCGCGGCTCACAAATGACGGCTCACTTTACCGCGGTTAAAATAATGACACCGTGACTCCCCTGCCTTTGTAAATAGAGGGACAGTAACTGTGTGTAAAACCTGCAGATAGTCAGATTAACAGTATTTTGTCTCTATCTGCCATTCTGCAATTCATCTCATGTGAACAATAACGTGGCGCACAGCGTGACGTGAAAAAAGGCACATACCTTTGACGTTGTGACAAACTCTGTATTCCTCGTCCACACGTAAACGCAAAAAAGGAGTTTAAAAAAATCTCAGTTTTCGCTGATTCAAAACGCTGTTTACGTGGACGAAACAGCTGCGTTTTCAAAAATACCCGTGTAGGTGCAGACGCAGCGTGAAAGAGTTAGTAGTTTATTTTATCACTACCTGTAATTTATTGCAGATTACTTGTATTTGCTGAATTGTTTACTAAATGTTTGAGGTGTGAAATAAACCAAAATGCAGAAAGAGGTGGTTGGAGGATGTGTTGGTGGGTGAGAGGGGGGGGGGGGGGGCATTTTTCTTGTAAAACAAAGGGGGGCCCAACAAAAAAAAGTTTGGGAACCACTGCTTTAAAGGACTTCCACACTGACTGACGCTCTTTTACAATCTGCCTCAAGTGGCCGTTAATGGAATTGCAGTTCTGGACAGTCTGAAACACACACTGAAGCCCACTGACTTCATATTACTTCATATCCCTGAGGTTGAGCTATTGAGCTGGGAGCTGAGCCTTTTTGGGGCAAAAATGAAACTATGACGCACTGATATGAACTATTTTAGAATTTGTGCTTTACTCTGAAAGCAGAATCGCCTTATCAGCTGTGCCCGAGCTTCCTCCACCTGTCACCGGCTGAGACCGCAGGAAATCCCATTCCAGTGACTCCAGCGTCGTTGCCGCAGTTTCAAACGTCCCCGCGGGGAGAGCGTGTAAATACTGTGTTGCCAGGTTGGACAGGAATCCACCTTATAGCGGATGGCGCTCACCGTGCAGAGCTGTGCGCGTGCTCCTGCCATGCAGGCAGCTTGATGCGAAGATAAGAAAAACCGGATCTGGTTTCCGCGAAGAGCGCAAGTATCCGCTGGAACGGACTTTCCCAACGCGGCAGCGCGGAGGGATAAACGAGCCACGGACACGAGCGAAGCGCGTTTGTTCCCTGCGTGTGTCCGCGGCTGGACGGGCAGCAGGCTGACACGACTATTTGTCGCACGTCAGCTGATCGGCGCTGCTCTTTCTGAAGGCCGAAGCCTCGGATTTGGGAAAATACGCACACGCGCTTCCTCCTTCCACCTTCGCAGGATCGGCGGCTGGCCTGACATCATTGGCTGGCAGTTAGGAATGAATCATCGCCTTCCCCGGGGGGGTTCGGGGATGCTGTCGCTGTCATAGCACCCATAAAATCCCTCGGACACGCAGACCCACCCTCTGCGCTCTGCTGTTTTAAAGCCGTCTCGTCTTTGAAATCAGCATGGAGGAAATCTTGAGGAAGCTGCAGAAAGACGCGTCCGGCCACAAATACAAAGGCATCCGCGATGCCTGCGTCTACGCCTGCGGTGAGTGCACGGCAGCCCCTCCGGGCTCTTTGTCAACAGGAGGCGGAGGGAGAGCAGGGATGAGGGGAACCTGCGACTTCTCACCTGCTTTTAGCTTTTAGGAACCCGAGAGCAGCTCCTGCACTCAGCCCAGAGGCTGTGAAGGCTCAGCAAGAAGCCAGGAAATCTTTAGGACCATAACAGATTCATCTGAGCAGCCACGGTGCCATATGGCTGCCATGCCACTGTGCTGAGCTCCGCACCTGTTTTATAATGCCAAATGTCAGCCTCTCTTAAAGAAATACGGTAAATGCTCCAGCCAGGCTTTAGACAATTAGATTGGATCGTTATAGAAAGATACACAAGGCAAATATTTGCTGATTCATTACTGCAATAACTTGGGAGTATTTGACAGAGACGAAGAAAGCATGAAGGAGCTTCTTCAGAGGTTTCCAGACTCTGAGCAGAAACTCTTTCCTGTCTCATTACTGTCTTTCTGCACAGTTCAGTGCTTTTCACGAGTTCTCGCCTCAGCGCGAGACACGAGCTTCACTGTGGAGGGAAATATAGAAGTAGAGGAGTCCTCCTCTGGTTTCTTTATTAAATAAAATGTAGTTAATATGGTTTAAAATGTCTTAATAATATTTATGCACTGAAGAGTTCACACACACATCACATCAAGCAATAACAAAAACGGACACACCATGGTGTCCAAGCTCCCACACTGTTTTGGAATTATTATTATTATAGTTATTATAATAATAGTAATAATAATGAGTAGCAAAGTCTGATTGGGACTCCAGCCAACATAGCTTCATTATCCAGGTGGATGAATTATGACAGAAATTCTCAGAGTTGTTATGAAAAACCCAATTATCACATGAAGCTAAAAGAGTTTAATGCTCCAGGCTGCAAATCTGATTGTTTTTGCTGTAAAATTGGGCCTTTTAACAAGAAAGTAAATGGGGATTGAATCCTCTGTGGTGCCAGCCTCAAGTGGACGTTAGTGGAACTGCAGTTTTTAGCACTTCTGCATCACTGTGTTATCTTTCAGTTCTGCAGGATGAGTTTTTGGAACAAGGCTGATGGCATACAGGTACGGATACGGAGGGTCATCAAGTTAGAGCTCGGTTTGAATTCTGTCAAATAATCCTCTGAGCTTTGTTACACTTAATCCAGCAAGCTAGAAACTGGCAATGACCTTTTACAAACGAATCATGCGGCCGAACACAAATCATGTGACTTTCAATGACAACAATGAGAACGTGCCACAGAAGCCAAAATATATAAGCACACGGTGAAAAACGATTTCCACTGACGTCAGCGAGGAGACTGTTAGCATTAAACGGGTCAGTGTGACCTTTTAGTGGCAGGTGGAACTCATTGAGACAGCAAGGAGAGAATGAGTTCAGGTTGCGCTGAAGAAGGGGTCATTGTGTAATCGTACACACACACACACACACACACACACACACACCTATTTGGCTATGTCCAAAGAAAGCTGCAGGCCCTTTCCAGGCACATGCTTGCATATACACACATGCACAAAAGGCCTGAACTGTGACTTTCCAAAAAAGATGATATCATATATCAGTTCTATTTGCTCTTTTCTTCACAGACCGCTCGCATGAATAGAAACACGCCCACAGCATCAGTCACTGTGCAGGTCATGGTCGTCTCCGGATGTAAAGGATGCTGAATAGCCTGATGCAGATGCAGAGAACATATGTGAGAGAGTTCAGTGCAGGGACAAAGCTGCTGTTCACTAAGTCTTGGCAGACAAAGTATGAAAGCATGTGCAGAGATTTATGGCAGATTTTAGAGATGTCAGCAAGTCTCATATTTCACCTTTTAGCTGGGAAAACGTGGTACGCAGTCAGAGTTGGTTGGAAGTCTAAAGAGGAGGTGAAAATTTCTCTCTGAGCTCACCGAGGTCACGTTAGGAGGAGGATGCAGCGTGCGCTGTGAATGTCGGCCGGCTTTGAACATAATGTGACTGTACAGATGTTTTGGTGTTTGGTTTTCTTAAAGTACAAGCTCACATTTGATTTGGGGCATCCTGTTTCAGGCATTCATGCTGAATCTGTAATTTTAACAGAAATGAGTCAGCTAGCCCCGTATCTTTCAGTCAGGTGTCATGTAAATAAGATCCAACCCTGCCTTTTCTTTTTTCAGCAGTAAATCAATCTGCATTTGGTGCTGTAGTGAGTATTTGTGTCTGTGGGACTGAGTCAAAGTAAAGTGCAGTGTTTGTGTTCATGGTAATGAGAGTAGTGTCACTCAGTGGCTCGCTGGGTTCAGAGGTTGGAGGTTGTTGACATGAGAACATATTCAATGCAGAATATTTCTTCAACTGTTTCGCATGTCTGTGCTGAATTAAATGCAGCTTTTCATTCATGGATTCTCTATGAATGAAAATGCGACTTAACCACTCTGTCTGTTTCTTTGTTCCAATAGAAATGCTTCAGTCTCAGAATGGATCAGCAAAGATTTCCCCTTCACAGCTTCGGTAAGTTGAACATGACAGATTTTCTTCTCGAAAGCGTGAAATAAAAATGTGTAATTAGAACCTGCTGACAGCCTGTGGTTTGTTTTGAAGGAGGCGTCTTCGACAGTGCGAAACGTTCCTGCCTTTAGCTAACCTGATAGTGTTCATTCATTCTCTTCTGCTTATCCTTATCGGGGCTGGAGCCTGTCCCAGCTATTATGGGGCGAGAGGCCGGGTACACCCTGGACAAATCGCTAATCTGTCACCGATAACTGAATACTGAAATTTAAACTGCTAAGAACTTTATGGCTTAAAACATCAGTTTTCTCAAAGCTGCCTGATTTGAATAGATTAAAATGACAGAGGAGTCATTTCTGAGTTGATAATGCAAATACTGAGCGCGAGCTCTGAGCTCAGCATTGCTTCAGTTTGGACGTTTGATCGTCAGAGAAGTGATCAGTTTAAACTGCAGTAGCCTGGACACACTTACAGCTAAAACTCATCTGTTCAAATCTGCATCTTCACTATGAACTCATTGTTTATTTTATCTTGTGCTTTTGTTTATGTGTTGTTCTTTATTGTCATTGTTCTATTTTGTTTTATTCTATTGTTAAGTGTCCTTGGGTGTCTTGAAAGGCACTTTTAAATAAAATGTATTATTATTATTATTATTATCATTATTATTATTATTATTATTATTATTATTATTATTATTATTATTATTATTATTATTATGTGTATCTGAGGCTACTTTGACAAGCAGGATCCTTTTTTGGGCTGTCAGATATACACTGTGATCATAGACTATTTACAGATAGATAGATATATTACATTTTCTATGTAGTTTGTATTTGTATTGCTTCTTGAGTTTTTGCTTTTTATTCAATTTAGTTTAAATTGTTTGAAAATGCCTATTTTTATTTTATTTAATTTCTTTTTTGAGTTATTATTGTATAGAGATTTAGGTACATCACTACAGGTGTTAAAATAAAAACACATGAATTTTTCAAAGCAGTTGACTTCAGTAAACAAATCAGCTGGCCAGCAGGGGGCGACTCCTCTGGTTAAAAAGGCCGTATTTCCCATTTGACCCTTGACCTCAGTAAACACGTTCACTATTTTCAAATCTTATTTAACACAGTGTTATATTTATTTTGTGAGTTTGGTCCCCATCAGAATAAAAGCAATGATAGGTACAGCTGCAGTATTTTTCTTGTTATCGTACAGTTTAACTCAGAGTTTTCAGTATTTTTATTATTTAAATGAGTACGAGAGCACCACAAACTAAAAGAGCTGAGAGAAAAAGCAGTGTTGATAACACCTGAGCTTTCTAATGTGAGGGGAGTTTGTGCTACTGAGTCCAAGTGCTTTTGTGCTAATCACCTTTTAAATCATTCCAAAAAACCCAGTTGGACATTTTTAGAGTTCAGTGATCTCTTGGTGGAGTTTTTTAATTAGCGGGACGCAATAATATGATCTGTCTGATTCTTGCAGTCGCTGTAGTGAGTTTGAAATCTAGTAATCTGTGACTGTTTCTGTGAGTAAAACTCAGTAAAGTGTAAAGTGGATGGAGCTGCTGCTGCTGGTGGCCAGCAGCTCGTGATGGTCCCGTAAATTCCCAACACGGCATGAATTATTCACGTGATAATCTGTGTTGTTTTATTAGAGCGTATTAGATTAAATATTGATGATAATGTCTTTGTAATCTAGTGCCATGATTTCTCTACTAGTGTGTTCTTCTGGCTCTACAGATAAGACTTCATGCCTGTTATCTCTGAAGGAGAGATGCTAAAGAACAGACTTGATTGACAGACTGATGGAAGATTAATTTATAATGTATTTAATTATAAATAATCAAATTCAAAAGTGACTGAGTTTGGTGTTTAAATGACAAATTCTCAATGTTTTTCACCCAAATGTTTGCCTTTTTGTCTTTTGACTTTGTTGTCTGTGTTGTTTGTTGCTCATAAATGGTCTGGTTGTGGGTAACTGCCGTGCAAACTGTGGCTCCTCACAGCCTGCTTGAGTGGTCGAGTTGTGGCAGCTCAGAGCAGCCTGAGAGCGCAGAGATGAAGCTCAGTATCCTGTAATCAGCAGCAGAGCGCGGTGACTCAACCAACCACAAATAACAAGAGGGAGATGGAGGGCGATCGAGTGGAAAGAGAGAGGGAAGAAACGGCGGGAGAAGCAACACAGTAGCTGGTTTACATAAAGATATCTGCGTGAAGCTACCATGAAAAGCTTATTTAGCAAAGGATGTGGTTGCTGAGATTATTTGGGTTCCCTGTGCAAAGTTTTAAGCTTAGCATTTTGCTCGTGTGAGGGGCGGATCTGACTGAGAAACCAGCTGACATTGTGAGCTCATGTGGTGTGATATGACATGGGATATTAATCAGCCATGAGGTAGGCCCACCCTGACGCATACTTTGCTTTATATCCTTCTGGATGTTATTGTGGGCCACAATTTATAAAACAGACACCATGTTGCACAGAGTGACTTGAAACCAGCAGTAAACTCATCAGGAAAGAGGTTAATTGAGCATGACCTTAGCAAGAAAACAGTGTGGCACTTCTGCAAGATGCTTTGCAACCCACCTCCAGCCCAGGTTTGATGTTTATTACAAATGTTGCTTATATGCAGCTCTAAGGACACAAGAACTAGAATGTAGTTCAACTTTATGACTTACGCTCCCCTCACCCATCAGACGGGTTGGCCAATGAAGACTTTTGCCAGACAAGAGAAGCTCAAGTAAATTGCTCCTCCTGACTTGTTACTGTAACGATTGTAAACTATAATGCTTCGGTTTTGGAGGAGGGCACAGATTTATGATGGAGGTGAAAAAGGAGACGTTCTGATAATCTGCTGATCTGTTTTCTTCTCACATCTCTGAAGTACTGCACACACAGTTTCACAGCCTTTAAGAGATATTCCACCTATGCAACATAACCATTTTCAACCACTAATCATTGATGAGAACTCATTTATTAAAAGCTTAATTTATTAACTTCCACTCCAAGATTTATTCACTCCATATTTAGCATTTTTTTCTGTTCCAAAGTCTGTGTTCGCTCACTTTATTGACACCAATCCCTGACTGCCTGTGATCGTGTCAGCTAATCTTCAGAGATTGTAGAGAGCTGTGATTGCACTGCCTGCATTACTATGTTGTGTTTGCTTCCAGAGAGCGCTGTCTGCTGCCTCTACAGATGGCTCTGGAGTCAAAAAACACCAAACTGGGACAGACTGCACTTACTGGCATGCAGGTACTGGAAGACACAAATATATAAATAAAGGTTTTATTTATTTATTTGGATTTTATTCGTCTTTATTTAAACCTTTCTGATTGAACTCTGACACCAGCTTAAAGTGGAATGTACAAACTGAAGCTGTAGCTTTTCTCTACACAGAAACTCCTGTGTGAGGACAGGTTTGTGGGTGGAGCTAGTGTGGAGGTGGAGGCACTGGAGAAACAGCTGCTCAGCCAGGTGTTGGAGGCTATCAGAGTTACCCCATCTCTCCATGAAGACTTGCAGGTGGAAGTTATGAAAGTAAGACCTGGGAATGTGTTTTTGGGGCTGAAATGATGACAGATGGTTGTACTTGTGTCATGCATGAAACTTCCAGGCTTGCGTGGTGGTGCAGCCGGTGCTGTCCTTGGTGCTGAAAATTGTTCTGTGAAACTGGACTGAAAGAAGTCTACAGTTCTGAGTGCCCACACTGCTCATCATGTAGTTACACTTAATGTGAACACACTTAAAATAGTGTCAATTTCTAATCATTTAGACCCCAAAACTGATGTTATTTTCTAACATTGACTGTATTTTCCTGGAGCACGCTCCTTAGTGCACTTAGCCTATGTAAAGTGAACCTGCTATGCTAGCGATTTCCACCTCCATATTTTATTCTTGGACTCTACTGGAGTAGGTTTGCATGATTGCATGATTACTTATTGCATTATTATTGTATTATTTAATGCATGATTACTTATTATAAATAAGTATCTTATTTGGTCTTTGTACAGCTCCCATGTCATCCTTTGCCTGAAATAAGCTAATTTAGCTCCTCCCCCTTTTGCTGTTACTGACCAGCTTTCTTCTGATTGGCCCTTGTAAATAGAATCATCGAGCCAAGAGTTGAACAAACAGCATGAAGCACAGTTTTTAGAGCAGTGTGCAACCTGAGCTTTTGGCTCACAGCTATTAATTATATATACATTAACTTTGTTTGCAGCTTTGGGCATAGTTAATATGAAAATAAAGCAGTTTAGTATGCCGTTATTTTTGTGCCACTATTCTGAGCGCACGTAAAAAAATTTGCAGGTGCAAGTGTTGTATTTTGAGGAGAAATTTATTTTGAGCAAAGAAAAGCTGAATTTGAGTGAACAAAATTCATTGCTGTGTGCAAAAAATGTATTTCAGTGCACGCTCAACTCTTTCTCTACACCGTTATATTTGTGCCACAAAACCAGCCAATCACAGACCAATCTGATTGGCTATTCTGGTCTCCAATCAGCTCGAAATGACGAAAAGCAATATCCCTGCTTATTAAGAGTGTGTTTCTCCTGTGTGCAGGTCCTGCTCTGTATCACCTACTCACCAAACTTTGACATTAATGGAGACTCCATCCTCCGGATTGCTGAGGTAGGGCAGCCTGAGACTGATGCGACTCATCTTCATAATCAGATACATGAGCTTTTACTTGGCAATAAATAAATGCATAAACAAATACATTCACAGACGTGTGACAGCTGTGCAGAAATTTCTTTCCTGGATTCTTTTTCCAGCTCTTACATTAAGTTTTAGGCTTTTTCTGTATTGCTGTCGCCTGGAATTATTCTGAAATGATTAGACAGACTTTTATGGGCCAGACTAAACTTGGACTGGACGGCCAAACGAGCTTTACAAAGGAAAATTCAAACATGTTAAAAAGAATTTGCATCATTTTCTGTTTAGCTTGTTCCTGCTTGTTGCCTCATGAAGCAGACTTTTTTTTCATAGTATCAGCCTTGAATAGGCTGTCTCAGACTGAACCAATGATACAGGGCGTTGCATTTTTTTTTTTAAGGAAAGTGAACTGTTAGCACAGCGAGCTGAACATGGATCTTTTTTTTAAAAGGTGAAGCGTTTCTCTGTCCTCACTTGCCCTCAAGCCTCATCTCATACTGTAATCTCATCAATTATTCAGAAAAGTGAGATGAGTTTTCCTACAGACACACAAACAAAGAGGCAGGGCTGTGCAGATGAAAATATTTGCCAATAAAACCAATAAAACCGTGACGTGCTGGAAGTACCAAGGTCTGCACCAGGTTCACTGGCTTAGCAATCTGTACAAAGCTTCTTACTCATGGTTTTTAAGGCTGTATTATCATCATATTACTGGAACACGTCTGTGTAATCATCATCAGTTTTGCTGTAATCAAGAACATCTGTTCCCAGTTCAAGCCTCAGCTTGCTTTGATTTCTGCTGAACAGTGTACTTATAATGAGCATGAGAACGTATAGCTGGAGAGACTGGATAAATGTCCAGCACTGCCTGCCTGATGACATACTGCACACGTCAGGTGGTGCCCCGGCCTTGAAGGTCAGCAGGTTCAGTTCTGTATTAAACTATAGATTATGCCAGAGGTGATTATATATTCAAACTGTTTCCGTCTAATTTATCTACAAACACAATAGAGACATTAATTAAGCCCTTCTGTTTTGCTGGGTTCGCAGTGAATGGGGTTCAAGAGAACAGATAGCATCTTACTTGTTTTTATTAGGAGGTGTGATCACAACTGGCTTAAAATCACAAATTCAAATATGACACATCAACCCCTTCAAGGTCGTCTCCTTGGGTGGCACTGCACCAGATGATAATGATAATAATGATATTAATAGTAATGATAGTTAAAGTAACAGTAGTAATAGTCGTGCTCAATGTTCTCAATGTAAGGAGAAAAAACAGGGATGTGCTGCAGACCTGCAGCTTGGTCTTTGAGATGTAGCTGGAGTCTCAGCTCCCGTGGGTAGTAATGATCCCTGAAATTAAACTTGGGTCAAGCTGACACTGAAGTTAATGTTTGCTCTGTGTGGAACTGGTGCAGTCTGCAAGGTTTGGGACTCCCAGGACATGCTTTTAAAATAGCAGCTGTGCTGGAAGCAGTCCAGAAGTGCTCAAGGAGACAGTTTCATTCACAAAAGTTTAAACTGGGTTGTCCGTGTTGTACGGCCACCAGCAGTAAAAAAACTGATGAATAAAATTCAGAAACTTTAGAGTCATTCTTAGACTTGGTCATTCTTTGGTCTTTATAGAACATAAAGAAGTAATCCCCCGTTTCTCGATAGCTCAGGTTCATAACTTGCTCCTTGGGCTGTTTCATAATGGATGCTTCAGTTTGGTTTATATTAGGTAAAACTGATTTGGAGTCATGAATAAAAGAACGGTGTCAAAACATCTCAAGACACTAATCAGTTCAATGCAAAGATTAGACTTTACGCTGACAGCTTACTGTACAATGGGACGTTTGGTTCTAAGAAAGACGTTTCAGAACGCACAGTGTTCTACAGTTCTACTGTTTATACTGAGCAGAAACGTCATGTTAGTCATTAATGTTCAGACCACCTGATCGTAGCGTGGTCGAGTGTTTTATGTCAAATGTTTTCTGTCACGTCACTTCCCCCAGCAGCAGAAGCAACATCTCCTGCAGCTAAGTGATGTTTGACGTCCATTAACAGCTCGTAAAAACCCAGTCACCATGGCGTGTTAATGGGCTCTGTGCTGTCAGGGCTGGCCATCTGGTGTGTGAGTGTATTGTATTTGCATTGGGGCATAACTCAGGGTGGCTGGAAAGGCTGTCAGCAACACTCCATTATCATAACATCTAGGCAAATAGGGCCAGGACAGTTTTTTTCTAATGTATTTATTTATTTTAATGGAGGGATTGGCAGCGCTGAGAGATTCATGCATTGTCAAACACGGGGAGCTCAAGGCTTACACTCCATCTCTCTAATGTGGTCATCAGTTACATGAAATCATGTAACCTGCCATACAACTATAGACACTTCAGATATATTAGTGTGTTAACCCTCCGATAGACTGGTGTACCCAACTTCATGCCCTATGACTCCAACCCAGCTGTGGCCCTAAAGGGGATGGATGGATGGATGGATGGATGGATGGATGGATGGATGGATGGATGGATGGATGGATGGATGGATATCCTTATTTTAACTGTAAATAATTTTCTTGTTGCCAAACGTTTGACTCTTACATCAAACTATCACAGACTAGCTCATTAATGTTCAGTAGACCACAGGTTGTGTGTTTTTTGTCCTGTCTCCTTTCCCCAGCTCTTCCCCACTGGTACCAAGCGCTTGCTCATTGGGGGTCGTCTGATTGTTAGGGTTGTGTTATTGTAGGGTCTTTACATTACAATATAAAATGCCTTGAGGTGACTGTTGGGGGGATTTGCCACAAATAAAGCTGAAAATTGAAACCTGACTACAGGTTGAACAGGTGGCAACAGTTTAGTTATTCTCAGACTCAGAGACTGTAAATAAAAAATGGATGTAGCCACCATACTGTTACTTGTTAGTTCGTGCAGCCGCTGTCACTGTCGCACCTGTATAATTTATACGTGCCGCTTACTCGTGTTAGCCTGTAGCATAGCACTTTATCCCCTCGTCAAAAATATGGTCACTTTAGTTTCAAAGTGCTAATACTAATACATCGCGGTGTTTCCCCCCATCTTTTATATTCAGTAGGTTGTTTTATAGCAACTGACCAGTGCTACAAAAAAACAAAATAGGAATATGAGTATTTTGTTACCGAGGAGCTTTATTGATCTGTTGTTTTCTTCTTGTTTGTGGCTGTACAACACAAGCTTTTAGCTTTTAAACATTGTATAAATAAATGTACCCTGTGCATGTACTATATGAACCCCACATTATGAAGGTTTTAATATAACCCTGAGACATGTTTGTACTTACACTAACTGGCAGCGCTTTAAAAAAACAAGGTGGAGTATCGATTGCTTGCAGGAAGTGTGAGCATTAAAATTGAAGGAGCCGGAGCAACTCTTAATTCAAGAGGTACCTTGAGGTTGTTCCTTGCTCTCTTGTCCCTCTCACATGCATATTCATCCCATCTGTGAGTGCCTTATGGTGCAGGATGTATTGGGTTTTTTATTGATTGGGAGCAGGTGGTGTAAAACATCCCTGAAGCTGCCAAGATTTCAAATGTAATTAGCAGATGTGGTCTTTGTTTAGGCTCTATGTGAGGTTGGCCCTGGTAGTTCTCAGCCCCTCTGAGCTCACAGGATGGAACAGAAATTTGATAATTGGTCAAATAAATCTTGGCTTACACATTTTGTTATCAACAAGCTCTGTAGCTCTTCCATTAAACCCCACTCTTGGATTAAGAATTGTTATGTGATTTGGATTTCTGTACTGTGTATTTGTGCGATATCCCATCAGCAGCCTCCTTAAGGGACAAATATTTGATAAACATCCTGTTGGGAGCGGGCAGAAAGAGCCCCCAACAAAGAAAGACAGGATAGGAATAATGGAAGAAATACATAGAATGGAAAAACTTTTTTTTGAACCTCAAAATGGACCAATTTCTTAAAATCTGGAGGAAGTGGGAGAGATTTGTTGAAGGTGGTAATGTGGGGTGATGGGTGGTGGGTTATATAACCAGAGCTTAACTAAGTATTTTCACGCAACTACTGGAAGAAGGAAGGCCTGCTAAGGACGTGGTCACTGTTTTTTAGAAGGCAGCTCATAAAAGAGACTGGAAATAGCCTTCCATCAGGGATGGACTGTAAAGCGCTGCGTGGACAGTAGCAAAAACCTGACGACATGGGACCTGTAAAGAGGTGGAGGGGAGCTCCCCCAGACCGGGCTGGTCTGACGGTTTCACTGTGCCATTATGTTATTGTCAGTGCGTATTATGTTTGTTTGTTTTTTTGCTGTTTTTGTTTTTTTCATGTGGAAAAAAAAGAAAAAAAGAATTGTTATTGTTTCTAAGGTTACCCAGATGTGACAGACAATATTTAGCAAAAACGCTACAGAAAATAAAATACTTGAAATTCCCTCCTTAATTCTATATGAAATAATTGTATTCATAATGACTGTTTTTAATTTCATGTAGAATAAGCGCTATGCTTTACTGTGACATTAGCAAACCAGCATTCATGCTTCCTCCCTGGCTGGTTCAGTCCCAGCAATCCAGAAACAAACGAACACCCTAGGATAGCATTTTATTTTGAAGGAGAAAAGAGCCGTTTTTTCTGTACTCGTCTCTTTCCCCTCATCTCCCAGCGAGTCACAGGAGTCTGCTGCACCTGGTCACAAAAAAGAGTTTCAGAGTATGGCATTAATCAAAGCAACGTGTGAAAAACCCTAACTGTACTCCTGGGATACAGTGAGATATCCCGAGAATACGGTATAGTTGATTTTAAATGCAAAAAGCAAAGCGGGAAAGCATGTGTTATAAATGGCTGTGTGTTTGTGTGTGTGAGCGTGTATTCATGTCTTTGTGGGGACCAAAAATTGTATGTTTTCTATACTTGTGGGGATGTCACGTGGCCGGGTGGCCGGTACTGAACAGGACTCAGGTGCAGAAACCCAGAGCGGAGACAGCAGATGATGCAACAATTTATTAGGTTTAAGTGCAAGAGAAAAACGTGGCAAAAACAAAAAAACAACGAGACGTGGAGTCTTGGTGCGGCGTGGCCTGGGGAACGTGGCTATGGCGAGGGAATGAGGCCTGAGATGCGGAACGGAGCTGAGTGGGGAACAGTCACACTGAAGGAAGAGGATATAGGAGTTAGGTAGGTAGTGAAGGCAGCTCAGAAGTGGCCAGTTGTAAGAGCAGCAATTCTTACTTGCAGTTAGGGACCTGGAGTGTTGAGAGGGGGGTGATGAAGATCCAGGGGAGGCTGAGTGGCGTGGAAAAGCTGGCCTGAGATCCGGGGCTTCAGATGGAGTGTGATGGCAGGAGGGCAGGCAGGTGAGGCACAGAGAGATTTCCAGAATGATTACTAGGTATCCTGAGTCCAGAGGTGGAGTGTGAGCCAAGGTGGATACAGCAACTGTAGCACAAGAGAGTCGCGTTAACAGGATGAATCACAGCAAGAACTTAACGTATACGGCCTGTTACCAACATGTGTTGATGACGAACTGGCAGTGAATGAACATCAACGTGTGGTTTAAATCCCTCTGGCTTGATTGCCTGCAATAGGCTCCAGGTGTGCGGGAGCTGGAGTTGGCCCTGCCCAGGGGCGGATCCCAGGTCAGTTCAGGAGCCTTATGGAAATTCCAGCCACCCACCGTAGACCATGACAGGGGACCAATATCCCAGTTCCCACAAGTGAAAATGTCAAAATGTGGTTTTAGTGTCAGGGTTACAATTGAGTTCGGGTTAGGCATTCATTTATCATGGGTAGGGTGGGTGGCTAGGGAAAGCGTTATGTCAATTAGATGAATACCTGATGTGTGTGTGTGTGTGTGTGTGTGTGCTGAGCTACTAGCTAACGTCTGTCTTACCTTCCACAGATGCACAGTGTTTACTCTGTAACCTTCTAATCTGCCTGAAAGATGTCTGACACTGACAATACATCCCCTTGCCCCTGCTGCTCTCTTGTCTGGTTACCATAGTAACCAGTGACGCCATGGAAAGCTCCTATGAATCTGTCCAACAGTTCGGTGTCTGTCTGTGATGGTTTCTTGGCACAGTGCGTCATGGTTTTTCTGGTTTAGTGACATAAGAAAGACCACACACTGACAGATGCTCGTGTGTGTGTGTGTGTGTGTGTGTGTGTGTGTGTGTGTAGGTGTGCATCGAGACCTACATGTCCAGCTGTCACCAGCGCAGCATCAACACGGCGGTGAGAGCCACGCTGAGCCAGATATTGGGAGACCTGACGCTACAGCTCCGCCACAGACAGGAGGTCACACAATACTTGAATTATATACACACAGATATATTATACAGATGTATATGTGCACACATTAACTAGTAGAAAATTACAGGTAGATAAAAGCGTAACGTACAGTACCACATTTGTTTTGACACAGAAGTGACTGTAAGCATGCCTCCTGTGTGTGTTCCTCTCCAGGGTGCAGATGGAGACGAGGTGACTGCACCGCCGCTGCAGAGACGAGGTACATCACTGCCAGGGGTTTCTCTCACCTCTGCAGCTTCCTTTGTCAGCTGTAGGGATGTACTTCTCACCTCCTAATATGTAATATTGCATATGAGCACAGCATTTCACTGCCTAATATCTTACTATGAATGCTGCAGACAGGACCATTGTAGGGTATGAGTGTCCAGCAGAGACTAAATAAAAGATCACTCTGACCTAACAGGAAGCTCCCTGATTGCCAGTCCCGCTCATGTTCACGCTGAATTGGCCCCTGCAGTACACACAATAAAAACTTTTTATTCTGGTCAAAGCAGATGGCTGCTCCTCCCTGAGCCTGGTTTTCTTGAAGGTCTCTTCATGTTAAAAGGGAGTTCTTCTTCCCCACTATCACCAAGTGCTTTCTGAATGCTGGACTGGGGACATTGTTGCCCATTTTATGAGTGGCATGTGAAAGTTAAAGCATCACTGGTTGGTGGAGGCATAGAGACACTAGTTTGGCCCAGCAATGGTGAAAATGTCCAAGTTTAGTTTCTTGTGTGAGTTCAGCATTAAAGCTTGCGAGCCACTGGTGGCTGTGGGCTCTTCGTCATGTTTAGTGTGCAGCTCCAACTGTTTTGTAGCTGTTATAAAGCCACTGTAATCACCAATCTGCTGGTAGTAAGAAGCAACTTCAGAGAGAGACTGGCAGGGCTGCTTTTATGATACCATAAACAGTCAAATGCACTGTTTCGATAGATGCCTCTGCAGGCAGAGAGCCAACCAGGTTCCAGTGAGGGAACTGATTTATTCTGCTTCTTAGAGGGGAAACTGAGAGAGAGGAAATTGGGAAAGCAATGATTTTTTTATCACTTCATGTACATAGTGGCGAATGATAAAGCAGGAACCACAAATTAACCTTTTTATGGTGTGTGTGGGGGGGTGGCTTTTTGCAGATATTTCTCCCACCAGCCAAGCTCTGTGTGAAGATGTGGTCACGGTTCTGACCGTTTTCTGTGAAAAGCTGGAGTCAGTGGACAGGTAACGCTGCAGATTCTCATTGACTCACTAATATTCTGTTATATTTCTCTTGTCTCGATATGGAGGTGATAATTCAGTCAGACTGATCCAAACACAGAAACAAAAACACAGATGTATGATTTTGGATGGGCCGACGTCACTGATAATCACTCTGCTTTCATTAGTGTTTCATCTCCTTTCAGTGTAAGTAATGAGAACAAACATGAAGGCGCCCAGGAAAAGGTTGAAAAACTGCACATAGTTTAGCTGCTGTTTAGCTCATTCGTGTGGTTTCGTTTTAAATGTCAGCTTTATCACATTAAACAGTGTTTGCATGTTTCCTCTGCACTTCCATGGTTTCTTCCTGGAAGCTTCCTAGTTTAATACAGTAACCATTTCTTTATTTTAATCTCCCAGTGATAACCAGCTCCTGCAGCTACTCTACCTGGAGTGCATCCTTTCTATGCTCAGCAGCTGCCCTCCCACAATGCACCTCTTCAGAGGTTTCACAGACCTCGTGTGGTAAGACTCACTGAGTAAAATTTCATCAACTGGTCCCTCACTGTTGTCCTTAATTGGAGTTGATTGTAGTCCGATGTAATCAATAAAAATCGCTAATGTTCCTCTTCCCAGGAAGCAGCTGTGCCCATCCCTGGTGGCAATCATGGGCAATCCCGTCAATGACAAAACTATTGCTTCCCACCACGGCTACTCAGCGGCATCAGACCGAGACCGCCTCTCAGAGAGACTCAGTTTAGGTAACTGAATTTACTAAAGAATCCGCTGTAGGAGGCGGTCAGTTTGTCTGTTTTTTTGCAACAATTTGAAAGCGAATATCAGTGGAAATTAATCTCTATCAGGGATTCAAGCGCCAAGAAAGGGGGGAAAATCAATACCTAATTACTGATCGCTCATAAACGGAGCCTGATGCAGCTATGAAGATCACGACTGAAGCTAACAGTGTGAAAAGTGTTGGTTTCCACTCACTGCTGCAGGAGTTTAAGGAGACATGAGTTCTTATAGGAAGAAGCTTTCTATCAGCATGATTTCATGGGCTTCATGCCCCTCTTTGTTTTGTTCTCCCAGGAATGGGCCAGGAGGTGGACTCCTCCTGCGGAGGACTGTCCGATCAGGGCAGAGGTTCTGGCTGCTCCTCTAGCGCCCCTGCCAGGATTGCACCGGTAGTGCGCACAGTTTGCTACATTGCAGCAGAGCTGGTGCGTCTGGTGAGCTGCGTCGAGTCGATGAAACCGGTGCTCCAGTCGCTCTACCACAGGATCCTCCTCTACCCTCCTCCTCAGCACCGCACCGAGGCCATCCGCATCATGAAGGAGGTGGGACAAAGACATTTCTCTACGTTTATAATATCATTTTTCACTGACAGGCAGCCCTTTGCTAATCTTTATTCAGCAAAGTTTTCACAAGTACCTCCGAGGATCATGCACTCGAAGGGGTCCAGTAACAGTTTGACATTTGGGATAACCTGCCTGCATATGTTTTTAGAACCATGTCAGCAAAAGCTTTAATGCTTTCGTCTGTGGCAGATTCTGGGCAGCCCCCAGCGGCTGTATGACCTCGCCGGTCCCTGCATGGCTGAGCCTGAGACCAGGAAGCGATCATTCTCAAAGAGGAAGTCCCACCTGGACCTGCTCAGACTGTTAGTAACTCCTAACTTTGTTCACTTGGTGTTTGCTTTGTTTCTGAAATTTAACAATCTGAAATCTGTCACCCAGGGATGTTTGTCTGTACTCTTTGTTTTGCTGCACATTGTTTCAATCATCACTCGGTCCAAATTAAAGTAGAAATCAAAATAATGTGTTCGCTCACGTCATTTGATACTGGCGATCAATCCTATACTGAGCTGTTTGTTTCTGCTTCCCGTGGCAGAGTGATGGATGGGATGACAGAGGCTTGTATGAAAGGAGGCATCGAGGCGTGTTACTCCTCCGTGTCTTGTGCCTGTGCCCTTCTCAGCGCACTGGATGAGCTGTCACAGGGCCGTGGCATCCAGCCTGAGCAGGTATGCAGACAACACACAGAACCACAGCATTAAAGGGCCATTCTGGGGTTTAACGTATTACTTATTTAAGCAGCACTTTTGTGCATGCAAAGGGTTTGGATTTAGTGTTCAGGCCAAAAGAAGGTCTCTATGTCACTGTGTAACCCAGTGATACTTAATGCATTCCTAGCAGCTAGTTTGACAGCCCTCAACCAATGAATGAGCAGCTCTGTCGGTGGCCGTCCATCATTAAAACGTTTGTGGGATTTTGTTAACAAGTGACAGCTCTTGGGTCTCTGAATCAGCACAATATGGGCTCTGGTGTTGATTACGTATAAAACGGTAACATAGCTGCGCTCTCCAGGCTCGGCTTCTCCTCAGACGACTGGACGATCTGAAAGATGGAACCGAGTCGACACGTGAGTCCATGGAGATCAACGAGGCTGACTTCAGGTGGCAGAGACACATCCTGTCCTCAGAGCAGCCTCCGTGGGACCCCAGCTCTTCTTCCTCCAATGTGGCCACCACTGGCACCACTGAGCGTAGCCCCGACATCAGCATCAGCATCACCACGGAAACGGGCCAAACCACCCTGGATTTAGAGGTGGGAGAGCTCGGCCTCGCTGTGGGCCACACCAGTCCGGAGGAGTGTGGAGAGGACGCTCGTCTCCCTTCGCCTTCTTTCTGTGGCGATCAGGAGGAAACCAAACACGAGCCGATCCCCGTGCCCAACCAGGGAGGCCAGAAGGAGGAAGGAGGGGTGCCCAAAGGGGAGGTGGAGGGAAGAGGAGAGAAAGAAAGAGGTGGAGGCGGAGAGAGAGGAGGTGCAGTTCCTCCAGATGTGGTGCAAAGGAGTCACGCCCTCGTCTACCCCGACATCACGAACTTCCTGTCTGTGGAATCCAGGTCTCGGTCGCACCACGGAGGAGGGTCACGATACAGCGAGAGCAACTTCAGGTACTGCTGTTTCTCTAGTTGCTGAATTGAAATTATGATAAATAGTAATTAAGTAAAGAAAGAATATATAAATAATAAAAACAATCTCATGCTTCTTCCTGCTGCCCACCAGCATGGAGGAGCAGGACCTGTCACGGACAGAGTTTGACTCGTGCGATCAGTACTCCATGGCTGCCGAGAAAGACTCGGGGCGCTCTGACGTCTCCGACATCGGGTCCGACAACGTGTCGCTGGCCGACGAGGACCAGCAGTTGTCCCGCGACTTCCCAGGTCACCGCTCCCTGCGCACTGCCGCCCTGTCCCTCAAACTGCTCCGCAACCAAGAGGCTGACCAGCAAAGCGCCAGACTGTTCGTGCAGTCTCTGGCTGGACAGCTGCCCCGCCTGCTGGGGATGTCCACTGCCACGGAGGTGGACATGTCGCTGCAGAACTTCTCTTCCACCTTCTGCTCTGGACTGCAGGCTGGTGAGTGAGGGGAGAAGGGAGGGAGGTTAGATTTACTGCAGTGGAGTGATTCCTGTTCTGCGATCTGCATGAGTTTGCTACTCAAACACACACATATTTGCTCAGGGAGGAGATGGTTCTCCCTGTTTAAGTAAATATATTACACTGCAGGCATGCGCTGGGAATATCGGAGTGCAAAGACAAGACAAATCTCTACTACTGCAAGAACTCAATGACAAGGAGACACGCTAAAAATCAGTTTAAAGAATAACATTTATTGTTTCTTTTTTTCTACAGTAGATGATCTAAATGCTGAGGTTCTCAACATTTTTGTGGTCATGGTTAAATTACATTTTCCAAAGGCCCCTTCCCAGTCCTAACACACCTTTAGTTGGTCTGATTAATAACTCACTCCTGGAACATTTATGATATCATGTTTCAGTCTGTCAACCCATCAATCAGGCAAATGAGCCCCATCTCCTTATCCCATCGTCCAATCAGAAGACTGCTGAGATTAGTCTGACTAATGAACACCTTGGCTGCACATTCATTCAACCAATTAGCAGAGTTAGTGACATCACAATGCACAGGTTCTCATGCTAATGCAGTTTTTTCTGCTTCTGTGAGTGGCTCTGTTACTGCATTTTATATTTATTTACATTTCTTTTCATTTTATTTGACCTCAAAGGTGATTATTTTTGTAACTGAGCGAGGTAATAAAAATCTTGCTTTGTTGGACGCTACTGAGAAGTTCATTCTTTGCTGAATCACTGTTAGTGCGAACAGTCATTTTCTAGCTGTTTGCATAAACAGCTAGCTTTTCCAGCTTTTTAGCTAACACTACTTAGCTTTTAGCTAATGCTAGCTCCTCTGTAAGCCTGTTTCCTGTGTCTTGACTGACAGGTCTGTAGCTTCTCACTGTTGAAGGTTCTCCTGAGCTCCTCCATAAATACATGAGATTGAGAAACGAGTCTTAAAGAGTTTTTTGGACACAAATGCTTTTTTAAATTATTGTACAATATATATGCATTTTCTAAATCACTCTAAATTTGATGATTTAGAAATCAAGACCATTACCTGTGGGGTCGGGGAACTGCCAGAGACTTTCAAGCCTGCCTTGTCTTATTTTTTTCTAATTTCTTTCAAGCCCATCTGTGTTTTTACCTCCTTATAATTAAAACAATAAAAGTTAAAGAAGATGTTTCTGTTCTTCACACCTTCAGAAGTTAACTCTGGTTGTTCCTTCTAATAGATAATAGTGACAGTCGGGGTACCTGAATGGATGTGAAGCTCTTTTCTTTGAAGTTTCAGTAAAAATCAGCTGTAGCAGAAAATATTGCATCTCAAATAAACAGCATAACTGTGTAGTGGAAGAAAACATCAAGCTTCAGATGCGGTTTTCTGTATGTGTGCGCTGCTTTGAGGAAACCTGGTAAAATATTCAGGAGCTTAAATGAGTTCACTTTCGGTTTCTGGTGCAGATTGGGCTTCCTCTCTGTGGCGGTGTCTTGTGTGGGTCGTGGGTATTGTTGTTCTTTCATAAACTCTCTGGTCTTGTTCCATGCTTGTTTTTAAAACCTCTAAATGGCTCAAATATGTGATTAAAATCCCCGTAACATTGTTGTGTAATGTTTCTTTTGCAACAGATTTGGCAGGCGGTACTTCAGATTAGTTTTTTGTACTTTTTTATAAGAGCATCAGTTTATTATCAGTTTATTATCAGTAGAAATTTCTGTTCTGACTGCGGTGCGGTAACAAAGACCCTCTTGTATGCACAGGTCGCTGACGTCAGGGTTTTGCTGGTATGGATTTTGCTTTTTCCTGTTATTTGTCATCGGTGTGTAGTTTAAATGCAGTACGTTTATTTTCTTACAGTTATTAAAGAAAACTTTTTGCCTTACAGTCATGACATCCATCGCTAAGAGCAGCAAGCCTGCTGGGAGTTTTTACATCAGCAGAGCAAAATTATGAGTTAAATGAAATGTTACGCTCAGCTGACTTAATGAAATAGTTTGGACTTTAAATCCCCAGAGCAGGTTTTTGATTAAAACACTTCAGTCGCCTTCAGCCAACAGATTGTATCTCGCTGCCTGCTCTCACCTGCACACTCCCTTTCATTGGCTCTCTCACTGTCTCAGTTTTCTTTCTTTCTTTTTCACTTGTGCTGTAGGTGTTATTAATTCATATATAATCCGTCACATTTGACCTCTGAGAACACCGACACGTCCTCTACAGATGTAACTTGTAATCCTAAATCTGTGTCCCTGCAGGCGGCATTCACTCCCCAGGTTTCGAGACAGGCGACACTCTGAGCTGCCAGTCTCTGATGAACGCAGACGGCCTTTACCTGGTGTCTTACTACGCTCTGCTGCTCAATCTCAAACTCTGCTGCTGCGGCTACTACAAGCGGCGAACGCTCACGCCCGTCCTCAGCCTGGTGAGAGCGAGATTCGTTTCCTCTGATCAGTTTTCTCCGGTGTTTAAAGACAAGGATTCAAAGATAAGAAGTAAAACCAAACCAATGCAACTACATCCTGTAGTTTCAAAGAATCCTCTTTGTGCAGCATTGCTTATCTAAAGGTATAGATGTATCTTTGTGTTCCTCTAGCCACACAACCACCCAACTAAATACTGAATCAGCTCTACTTAGACATTTAAGCTACTTCAACTTTATCATCAAAAGTACAAGAAAATAAAAAAAAACTTCCCGCCCTGAATATAACAGCACTGAATTGGATGCAGTCACACTGAATGAGTGGACGTTTGTTCTGTTGTGCAGAAGGAGTTTGTGCGTCTGATCCAGAGCAGCGGCGTCCTCGTGGTTCTGTCTCAGGCCTGGATCGAGGAGCTTTACCACCAGGTGTTGGAGCGCAACCTGCTGGCTGAGTCTGGGTTCTCGGGTTCTTCAGAGGACCACACACTGCCGCTTATCACCATGCTGACAGGTACACACACACACACACACCTGTACAGTTTCTACGTGCTCAGCTAGTCTCCACACACTGGCTCAAAAGTCCTCCACATAACAAGGGAAAAATATTGATTAAGAGATAAATGAAGCAACAGTACTTATTATGAAAGGTGCGAAAGAGTGTGTGTGTTTGTCTGTCTTAGCCACTGAGAGAGCCCCTTATGCTACACTACACTGTCCAGGTGGCTTCACATGACTGACAGAGAGCTCCCCCTACCAGCTGAGCGCACCGCCCTGCCCTCCTCTGTCCCCAACACTACGCAGCTCCCTCCAAACTACCTCCAGCTCATCCTCAGTCGTACTTGGTGCCCATCATCCAGATTATTATGATCAGTTTAGGTGTAGGACAAAATGACACAGACAGAAAAAACCCAACATGGTATTCACACAGTAGCCCACATAAACCTACCCTTAAATTCAGCTTGTAGTTCACGGCACACCATCAGTTTCATTTTACTTAACAAAAAGTCCCAGTTAAAAACATCTTTTGCTATCCTTGACTGTATCATCTCCAAACAAATAATTTGCTCCTGCAAACAGGGACCTGGCTAAATTCTGGTATTTATAGTAAAGCCTATAATTGCTCACATCCTCTCCACGGGCAACTTTTTATCTGTTCAGTTACTGAGCTTTTCTATTAGCAGGGACCTAAAGGCTCTGTATGTTAATCCATAAACCTCCTAAATCTGTGTCTGAGTTTGGATAGTTTCCTCAGGGCTGCCTGCAGCACAAAAGGTAGAGCAGGTCATCTGCTAATTGAAAGGTTGGTGGTTCGAGCCCTTGCTGCTCCAGTCTGCACGGCAGTGTGCCTTTGGGGAAGATACTGAACCCCAGTTTGCTCAGACAGACTTTGGGATTTATTATATGCAGAGGGTATAAATTCAAATACTTGACATGTTGTAACTTCTCTGTTCCTCGTCTCTTAGACATTGACGGCTTGGGCAGCAGTGCAATAGGAGGTCAGCTGATCAGGAGAGCGTCGAGCCACGCGCCACTCGGCTGTGAAAAGCCGTGCAGTGACGCTGTGATGGCAGGTCAGTAGCACTTACTGAGAACGTAGTTAACATTTAATTCTCCTCAGTCAGCAGCTCTTCATTCACAGGGTTTTCATGTTTGGATTATATTTCTGGGGAACTTTACTCGAGTTCGCTGAGCCCGTAATTGCTACTAAAGTGCTGCGCTGGTAATCAGTAGAAACCACAACATTAGCAGAAGTATCTCAGAGCAGAGCTGCATGGTCAAGACATGCAGGTTTTTTAAAAATGTTGTATTTACTGGTGCATTCATGATTGCAAAACATAACAGATGAACATTTGTAAGTTTCACGTCCTGCTGCAGAGTCGGTCTGCAGGAACGTTGATAGGAAACCTGCAGGTTTTAAATACAATCATGCTTCAGTGATGTTGTGTGTTTGGATTTGACCTGCTGTAACTGAAAGAGCAAGAAGCTGCATTGCAAACGAAAGATGAGACAAGCTGGGGAAAAAAGGGTAGCTGGGTAGAAAGAGGGCAGTGAGCACCTGTGCTGTTTCCTGCAGGATTAAGCCAGACTCTAACTGCTGCTGGCTGACTCACCCCTGACATTTATGCTCATCTTGTGTGTTTTGTGTGTGTCACCATTTAAAAAACCGACCCTTTTTTTTTGCTCTGTGTTTTTCAGGAGCTGTGTTCTCACGCTTCATCCTCACCGGTGTTTGGAAAAACCTGATCGATGTTCTGTCCACACCGCTGACTGGTCGCATGGCGGGCAGCTCCAAGGGCCTGGCCTTCATCCTGGGGGCAGAGGGGGTCAAAGAGCAGAGCCAGAGGGAGAGAGACACCATCTGCCTGAGTTTAGACGGCCTGCGTAAAGCTGCTGCGCTCAGCTGCGCCCTGGGTGTGTGAAGCATGTTTCATGTGCCTGTATTAATAAGACAAATGCATATCATCTTCTCTCATCCCTGTGGGGGAGGATTTGTGCTCCCTCCCTATAGCACAGGCAAAGGTCAGGATTATTCACTAGACATCTGTCCTACAGCTGGAGCAGATTCTAGGTATGTACAGTATGAACAGTAATTTCTATTAGCAGCTAAGCAGCCACTCAGCACTGTTTTTAATCAGCACGTCCTGTCGCAGCTCACTAAACTCGAGGACTGATTTATTTAGGGGCCTGAAGAAGTGCAGTGTGAAACATGTTGTAAACGCTTAATCCAAATATATCTGTACTGTGGATTCAAATATTACACTTATATCACAGCATGCACACACAGATGTTTTGACTTGGCCAGTGTGATTTCTTCTTCACGTGATTTGTGTCACAGTAGTAATATGTTATAAGATAGGAGATAACATGCTAAAGATACGAAACATTGTGCTAAAATATTTCTACTTCAGATTATTTTCTGCAGCAGTTACAACCTCTCTTTCTTTGTTTGGTATTTAGCTGTAAAACATTTTCCATCACTGGTTTAGCATTAAGACAGTTAGCATAGATAACTTATAAACGTCCTGAGGTTTCAAAGCTTGATGTAATTAAAACTAAATAACAGGGGCCCTAGAGTTGAGCCGTGTGGGACACCGCAGGAAAAAGCAAATGGACACAAAGACTCCGGCACAGACGGTTAAACCTTTGAGATACGGTTCAGTATGAATTTGGTGGAAGAAATAAGGTCTCGATGTAATAAGATAGAACAATGAGCTGCAAGTTATTTGGCCACAACCTTCAGAAGTAGAAAGACTGAACTGAAATGTCTTTGTTTTCTTCTTCCAGTCAGCAGAATAAGCACGAGAGAGCACCGGGGAGGACTTGCTGTCAGATGGCTTTATTGTTCACTTTTAGCCACAGTAACTGTCAGGATGGCAAACGCCCTCACATGACTGCACAAAGGAAGTCAGAGTGAAAAAGGTTCAGACTGTAGAGGCTGTCAGAGCCAGACAAAACGCTGTTATTCTAATTCTAACATGGAGTTTACTGCCCTCGTGTGAGCTCAGACCCTCTCAGCTCCCGCCACAGCACAGGTCTACTTACACAGAATAATTGAGAACTGAGGGTTTACACAGCTTTTAATTGATATTAAACATGTTTTGGAAGCTTATGGGGTCACAGGGAAATGCAGTCACACTAATGAAAACCGCTTGACACGTGACTTTTTAAGCGATTAAGTACTTTAAACTTTCCCGTTAGAAGTCCTGGACATTCATTGAACCTGAATAGTCGTCTGAACCAAGTGCCAGCGGCCTCGTGGCTGGCCTGCCTTAAAGCTCTGTCCCATGTTTTTAGCTCGGGGATCCTTTCGTTTCCACCTCGACGTTTGGCAGCCACTGAAAAGGGACACCAGAATAACACCAGTGTGCTGAGTGCAGATTAGTGTTCAAACGTGAACACTGGGCAAAGCTGTCAACCATAAAAATACGAAACACAGGTGCTTCCTTAAAACGCTCCAGTTTTAGGCACATTTTACATTTCATCTGGTCTCAGTTCATTTTACACACTGAATGCAGCAAAGACGATGACTCTCCTCTCTTGCTGGTCTAACTTTTCTCTTCGTGCTGGAAGTGCAGACTGGAGGCCACGTCGTGCCCAGTTTTACTTCATACTTTGACATCGTTTCAACACAGCGTGCACGCCTTTTTGATTTAAGTCATGTCAGTTGTTTCTTCACGTTCTCTTGATAACTTGAGTCTATGAGGGCTTTAAATAATCTTTCTAATAAGCACGTTTAAACCATAGAGGGAGATGAATCTGCTGTTGATCATCTGTACTGTACCATGCTTCAAACGTATACATTTAAATGTAAAAACAGAAATTATCAGTAAAGCATTTACTGGGCATTTCATAGTGCCTAAAAATCCCCTCATGGTACTGTAGGCTTTTTTGTTTCTGCCATACTTTGAGCTTTGACTCGTACTCACACGGGGAAGGTTTTGCTGAGTTCTGATTTTCCTTGTCAGCTTCATTATGTATCACATTAATCAAATTTGACACCAGTGGCAGGTGCCCAATAGCAGCCAGCACCTGTTCGACGCTGTGCAGCTCCTCTGGAGGTTAACTGCGAGTTTTACTTCCAAAATGTTAAATGCAAGTATTACAGAGGATGTCAGGGGAAATGCAGTTTACTTATCAACCGCTGTCAGATGTCTGTGAGTATCACTAGCATTAAAGGACAGTGGCACATCCCCGGGGCCTGCATGGGAGCAAATCAGATTGAAATTAGTGCAGAAGGACTAATGAATATGAATGAACACATGGCGTACGACCTCCTCTGTGTTTGCAGTTGGCACGTTACAGTTTGTGTGTCTCCAGTTAAAATTTTAAACATGTACAGTAGAAATCCAAGAAATCTGTGAAAATGTCTCATTGGTAGATTCTGAATATGGATGATGGCTGAAATGCTGCATTTTTAATGTGCAGGGATGATGTTTTGTGGATGAATGAAACGGCACGTCTTTACTTTGTGTGTGTGTGTGTGTGTGTGTGTGCGTCTGTCAGGTGTGGCTGCCAACTGTGCTTCAGCTTTAGCCCAGATGGCTGCAGCCTCCTGTGTGCAGGAAGAGAAGGAGGAGAAGGAGGTGGGGGAGACGGGAGACGCTATCGCGCAAGGTATTTTCACAAAAACACAAACACACGCTTCCTCAGACGTTTGCATGTAACAGACACACAAAAACCTTAAATTTGAATCAAGCTCATCGTCGTCACACACAATCGAGGGGTAAAACCTCAAATTAGTGCTAATTTGTGTTTCCTAGTTATAAAACCCAGATAAGGGAAATCTTGACCGTTCACAATCATACATACAAAGAACCCACAGTAAACACATTTGTACACTTAATAAGGCCCCACTTATATCTCAACTTGAGATATTGAGACAGATCATTTCTGTTAATATTTGTATTAATATTTATTTATTACTTGTATTATTATTTCCTTAAGTACCTTTAACTGAGTATTTTCCATCTTCTGTTTTTGCTTTTGTCTCTTTTAAAAAAAAAAAGTTATTATTATAAACTTTTTACACTATAAGCAGAAACATTCTGGGCCACCTTGACCTGCAGGAGCTGCTCGGCATGGAAACCCATGCCGTGACGCTCCCAGCACAGAGGAGCTTAGAAGCTGCTGTGTGCCTCAGCACTTCTGCTCTGTAACTTGATGCGTCCTGACCTCCCGGCTGAGCAGCAGGTCAGGACCGTTGATTGTGGAATATCACGGAGGGAAGAACTGACTTGCTGCAGCGGCGGCGTCCAGTTACAGAACCAGACTGAGTTCAGTCAGATCTTCAGAACGACCTCTTCTTTCACAAACGTTTGCAAAGACCGACTGCGTGGCTAGGTGCTTAATGTTATGTACCTGTGCCGATGGGAGTAAAAAGCACCCCCCTTTTCCTTCACTAAACCTTGTGTCCTTGACCTTGATGAAATTGTCATGAGTTCAAGGAAAAGAGGGTGTTAGGAATATTGATAAGGACTCGAGAAAAGAACTGTGTGCTGAGAATCCGAATGACCTGACACTAACCTGCTTAACATGCTGTACTGAAACTACAGCGTGTAAATGTGGACTACAAAACATCGTACGTACTGCACCTTGCTTTGCTAACAGTACGCAGCAGCTGGATTTGCTAAGGAGCTCACGGTGACTGAACGTCACAGTCTTGGGTATTTTTCCAGGTGGCTCTGTGGCATATACATTTGTAGGAGCTTCCCTTTCAAGAAGAAAATATTTAAATGAGTAACATAGACATGATTTACAAAGTCTGAAGCATGCACTTTACTGCAAAATGCTCAACATTTCTTTGCCAAAAACAAAGCTTATGTCTGTTGTGGTTGTGATCGGTGCTTCCAGGAGTGTTTATCTGTTTGGAATAACGGGCCAATACCTTTTTTCGGCCACAGCCTAAACTTTGGGAATCATTTCTACTGGAGACAAAAGCAATGATAAAAACAAGATATGGGAACTAGTGACATCTAGTGACAGCTGCTACAAACTGCTGGCAGCATTTACTGGGATGCAACATTAATGTTTATATATTTCCTCAACCTGAGAGTCAGTTTTGTTAAAGCTCATCTCAAATCAGTTCAAGCACAATGTTCAGGGCATCTGTGATATTTAAAATACACTTTACTGTGTGTGTGTGTGTGTGTGTGTGTGTGTGTGTGTGTGTGTCTCCAGTGAAACAGCGTGTTGAGCAGCGTCTGGAGCAGATCGGCCGTCCTCAGGGAGTTCGCCTTCACACAGCTCATGTGTTGTGCATGGACGCCATCCTGAACGTTGGCCTGGAGATGGGCAGCCACAACCATGACTGCTGGCCTCATGTGTTCAGGTACGTTTGTTTATCCTGTAAAATATACTTCATATATCATATATATCAAGCTCAGAAATGGTAGTATGTGAAGCTCATAAGAGGGATGAAACTTCAAAAATATGTTCTAGAACTTCAAATCACTTTCAGGGTGACCGAGTACATCAGCTCACTGGAGCACACCCACTTCAGTGACGGCTCTGCCCAGCCGTCCTCTCTGACCACAATCACCCAGCAGAGCCAGCAGATGGCTGGCATCGACCTCGGGCTGGAGTTGAGCTGCGAACCCAGCCCCGAGGCCTCGGACCTGAGCCTGAGCCAGCCGGTCATCCAGCCGCTTTCCATCCAGGAGCTGCTGAAGGAGAGCGGCAGAGGGGGCCGAGGCCTGGACCTGAAGAGCGGCAGCCTGATGACCGGCACCAGCGCCGCCAAGGCCGTGTGCACGCTGTCAACACAGGCCGACAGGTAGAGACTGAACAAATACCACAGCAACATGATAGACTGGACACTTTCTACATGTGATGTTGCAGGTGTTGCACCAGTGCTGTTAGTTGTGTTTTGATTTTGTTTTATTAAAACTCAATAACTGCACGTGTTCCAAGTTTAAGAAACAGTAAATGAGAAATTCAGCGATTAGATTTCCTTTGACAGTCGGATCAGAGTGGCCCCTGTCCATATCCTGGTGGTAGTCATTAATTCAGAGAGTCGCTGCACTGAGGTGCAACTTCAGAGACTTGGATACTGAGTTGCTTTATGTTTTTTATATCTTTTTCATTTTATAGGTATTTAATCTTGCTAAATACTAACAGAAGAGGGGTTCAGTTTTATTTATACTTGCACTCTGACAGCGTTGAAAAGACTCAGTTCTCTCTTTTGTCCACTTTAACTCTGATGAGGTCACAGTTATCTTTCAGACTCTCAGATCTTTCCTGCCGTGCTTTCTGCAGACATCACATCCTGACAAGAGGAAATAAAGTAATGTACGCGATGAAAGGCAAAACAAGAGAATTATGTGGTGCAATATTCATTTTATCTCTATTATCTAATTTTAATTATTGTTAGAAATTAAACTATGATGAACTGCGCAGCCATAACTAATAAGGCTGACCTCTAAAAGCTCGGCCATAATGTCACCACGGGCAACAAGACGGTGGTAATAGAAGCAGACTAACAAGTTTCACAGTGGGTTTAGTTTCTAACTGAAGTGCAGCAGCTGTGTTAGCACCGTGTCCATTAACAGCCAGCATGACCGAGGCGCTTAATGACTTTATCTTCCAAATCCACGTTTCACCGACATTTGGTGCTCAGCAGGTGTTCCCGAGGTTGGTTTCATAGCCAAAAGATGGCAGTAGTGGTGCAGAGCTACTGCTGTGTGTGTGTGTGTGTGTGTGTGTGTGTGTGTGTGTGTGTG